CTAATCAGAATACTTAGTGCATACGAGCTTTCAGATCCTTCTTGCCGTGGTAATGGTCCAATTTGGAACAGCAAATGACAGGAGGCGGCATGCGATTTGAGTGATAAGGCGTATTCATGCAAGAAATCATATTCAGCCAAAGTGGGATTTCAGAGACGTTAAGCATAATGGAATGAGTGGCTAATATGAACACAACCAAAAAACGGAGAGTAAACCTCGAATCAAATAATACACAATTCTCCACAAACCAAATCCTGCGCTTTAAGCAATTTCTAATCATACATATTACAGAAACTAGCAATATTTAGCTTACAAGGCTTGAAAGTAATTACAATATAGACACGGTAATTTTACTGAGCAAAAAACAATCTCATACACTGTCAGTCACTTGATCTATCATCTAGCAAACTTATAATTCGATATTATATCAGAAGCGAAACAACTGCAAAAGAACAGAATAAAAATAAATACAGCCAGGTAGTATCTCAAGCATCCATAAACAGAAACAAAAACAGACCAAGACCAAATTCTAGTACATGTTTCATAAAATGACAAAATAGCATATGGTAACAGAATCTTAAAACCTTTGGCAACACCAGTGAACAAGACAAAAAACCAAGAACGACAGCCACTATTCTCTCAGAGAAAACTATGCAGATCGTCATACAAGCAAATGGCAAAGTCAAACGGTGACCAACGACCATGGAGATCTCGTGAATGACGAAGCTGTGATAAAAATGTATTCGAACGCAAATTTTGAAAACATATAAAAGATAAAAGCATCTTATGAAGTCGCATGTTGTCCAACTTCGCTCAGATATTCATTGTACTTTTTCTGTTGAATCTCATAAAGTTTTTCCAACTTCTTTCTTGCTTTCTTACTCAGTAGCTCACCGTTGGCGTCATGAGTTGGAATACCCTGTTCATCAAACTTTGAATATTTGTTTGTCTCCTGCAAAAACATCTCGGTTGGTGGTATTTTCTTCCGACTTTCTTTTTCCATCTTCTGTGCGGCCAACTCAGCTTTGATTCGCTCTTTTTCTGCCCTTTTTTGTTCTTCTAGCTGTCGTTGCTGCTCTTGCTCCTTCAACAGCGTCTCCCGGTCGACTAACTTGACCACGGTGTGATCTTGACGGTCTTCCAGACGAACACCGATGTTTGGTAAGATGCTATCTCTCAACTTGTCGCACTCCTCCAGCAAGGAGTCCAGGCTGTTTACCCGAGCATAGTCGCGCACCTTTCCTCGGAAGTCGGTCAGCACCTTCAGATAGGGCATAACCATTTCCTCCTTATTTGCCGTATTACCCTTATCGTTAGAATCAGAAAACCCTGAAAACAAAAACAAAATTGATTAACATAAGTGAAATTTGATACAATATAAAAATTTGAGCCCAGATATTAACGGCCAAAACGTACAGTGTAGAGAAAGAAAAATACACACACCTAGTAGTACCGCATCATTGCACCGCCTCCTTGCTTCTAGATGCCTAAGGAGTCTAGGACCATTTAAGCGGGCCAGAATTTCATAATATTTAAGCGCCTGCAGTACATAGGACGTAAGGCAGCATCTCTTAATTGGGATGAACAAATGAATATTCAAACCTAAACGCCACGATCCATAGGCGAAATCGAATCGAAAACATAACCCTGATGTTACGGTGTAGACGCAATGAGTGTAGCCTTCGATACCACTGACGATGCATAATATTAAAATTCAATACAAAGCCATACTTTTTAGCAATTTATGTACATTTAATTATATTCAAATTAAGTACAAAAATGAATTCTGGACGAACAGTGATTTACGAATTTTTTCCTGTCGATGAAGGAACTACAGAATTTATCAGAAAGCCACGCTATCATCAAGCCTAAAAACTAAGAATACTAACGATACAAATATGAGATGTATGCGCTTCATGTAAATAGCCGTCTCTTCTCTCTTGCTGCAAGAAAGCAGTCATAAGTCGAGCACAAACTTTTGGATACACCCTTACGAGTGCATTCTTAAACTTAAGAATCTAATTAATTGAAAGTTTCACGCCATTACAAAACATTCGCATGTCTGACACGGTATGCCATACCATATGTTCAATCACAAATATATTACAAGATAAAAAGTCACCGACGACTACTGGGTGATTCATCAGTGTACCAGACAACGATACAGCACCCGACGAGAAAACAGACGCAGACAAATGCTAATAAGAGTAAAATAATAATATTTAATCACAAACTGACATCATCTAACTAATCAGTCCTTCAGATACGTGACAGAAGATATTTCACAGTTTTGCTTAGAGCTGGGGTCTGACTCCAGCTAGTAATCGTTAATAGCAGTTGGATGAAAAATAAAAGCATGACATTAGCTGTTATAGCAGTTCTTCAACCATAGTGACGTGATGGTACCGTGTTGGAGAGGTCAGCTTAGAACACCCGAGGGGCGGGATTAGATTCCGGTCGAGGGGAATCCTTGTTTTATTCACGAATTCCTTGAAGCAAGGAATCGACAACACATTGCTTCAGACTGGAGTTGCTCAGTCAGCAGAGCACTGAACTCAGAATCGACAGCCTCAGTCGGTCTCACTCGCCCTTCTTCCTTCTGAGGCTGAAAAATGTGTACCCTTCTGAGAATAAAACAGGAGACTACACGCTACGCTTGCCACATGGCTGTACACTATGCCTTTAAAAAATAAGGCACTCCTGGCTGACGGTATAGCAACTGGGATCAGCATTGCATCATCAACTTTAGGAAAGGAAGGACGCAAAAACAGCCCGATCATGAAAGTGAACGAATAGCTACATTCCAACGGGGACAAAGTTTTCTTCCTCTTTCATTTTTTCAATCATAACAACGAATCATTTATTAAAACTCTGATTGAGATATATGGTAAATATAATACTCGATTGCCTACAGGAAAAATTACCATATTAATTTATGCTGATTATTTTGCGATTTAGAATGTTCATTTATTCATACATATGTTTAGAGTGTTCTTATATTTATAAGACAAGGAAGAAAACAGACCTATGATTAGGAAATCAAGAAGAAAGTCAACTACGATGTCAAATTTTAAATAGGACACGCATATAACAAGTATGACAGCCCCACTCACCAATTTCGTCATCGCCGCTAATCACACCAAAAATCTTCAACATCCGCGTGACATAAATAGCAATGTCGCGCAACAGGGGACAGTTAGGAGTGACTACTTCAAACGCGCACTTTGTGATGTAGACGTTGACATCGCTGATGATATTACGAAGCATCTGGATGACGGAAAAGGTATCAATCGAGTTGCACAACGCCTCATGGATACCTTGCTTGAAGGAAGCGAATGTATTCTGCAGATTCATCTCTAATGGGCCATACTTGCGGAAAGCGATAGTTCCAGATGATGAGCAGAGGTACTCACGAAGGTAGTGAGAAACAGTGAGGAAGAACTCGTTACAGAACTTCTCGAACTGGATCGCGCGTTCCATGCTCACGATTGAGTAGTCAACACTGTCAGACCAGTTGTGGAAGAGAAAGAAAATGCGCAATTGTCTAGCGGTATAAGATTTCAACGCGTTTTTAATGGTGATGAAGTTCTTCAAGCTTTTGCTCATCTTTAATCCAGCGATCTTCAATGTGCCGGTGTGAAGGAAATAGTTGACCCATTGGTTATGGCCAAAGTATGCCTCAGACTGAGCGATTTCGTTGTCGTGGTGCGGGAATTTTAGGTCAAAGCCACCCGAATGAATATCGAGCACCTTGCCGCATATATGACTGGCCATCACTGAACATTCGATGTGCCACCCCGGACGACCGGCACCCCATGGCGACTGCCAAGAAGGTTCGCCCGGCTTTGATGCCTTCCATAGGGCGAAATCACTAACATGTCGTTTTTCCTAAAAATAAGCAACTCGAAACTGACTTTAAATTTTGACTGAATACCTTAAATCGCTCCTCGCTAACACTCAATTCACCCTCTCCTTCACGCATGCCTTGCTGCATCATTTTCGTATCGGCCACTGCTTCTGGAATCAACTTGCCATACGTATGGTTTGGCGAAGCATTAAATGCAATCGTATCAAAATAGACCGAACCGTTCGACACATATGCATATCCATTGACGATGATTTGCTTAACGAAGTCGATAATTTCGTCTATGTATTCACTAACGCGGGTGACAGTATTTGGAGGCAGCACGTTTAATGAAGCCATGTCTTTGTAGAAGTCCTCCTCGTAAAACTTCGCGTGAGCACTAAATATTGAATGGTCCGTGACCGTTGCTCCTTGAGCCGTGTCCAGCCATTCGGCCAAGACATCAGCCGCTTCCAGCAACAACATGTTTTTAGCCAGTTCGATTTTCGCCTGATCAGATGATTTTAAGGCCGCCTCGAATTCAGACGCAGCTGCATCGACAATAGTTAGCTAGAAAAAATCAGATAAAATCACAATTAGAAAAATTATAGCAAATATCAAAGAACGATAGACGAAAGCTAGCTCTGAAGCAAATCATAAAAATTAGCAATTTTAAAACGGTCATATTCAGTATTAGCTATTCGATGGATCGGATCTCTAATCCAGGAAATAAAGTAATTGACGATCCCAGTATAAATGTAATTTAGCGTTCTATGCTCGTTGAACGACATCAACTGCTTCTAAGATAATTTACATCATCAACGTCATACCACTTGCTGCATCATCTTCTTCTTGTCGGGGCTACTTTCTTCTTCGAACTTCTGTTTATACTGCTTAATAGCAGAAATAATCTCAGTAATGAGCTACAACAAAATAAAGTTATGAGACTGGCAAGGAATGAAAAAAACTTTTACTTGTTCCAAAGATACGTCTTTTTCTAAGTAAGCCTTCAGAAGATACTTTTGGCGAGCACGCTTGATGATCTTATCGTCGATATCCGTTATATTCATCACATAGTTGACGTCATAGCCGAAATAGTCTTGCATCACGCGACGTACTATATCGAAGCTGACATAAGACCTATACAAATCAAGTTATAATTTGCGACGAAAGCAACGTACTTAGCTCGTCTAATCACTAAGTAAGTGACTTCTCAAGTAGTGACTTCACTGATTAACATTTAAAGCTTAAAACAAAAAAAAACACGTTTATTTTGCTTCTACTTAAATTATTAATTTATCCAAGCGCATTAATTTGGAAATTAAATCAGTGCGCCAGTAAATCAGATTTTGAGTTCAGGGTAGGAAGGGTTCAAGGAAACGCAGTTCCAATCGCACAGACACAGTTTCTTGCACTATCAATCATTCTTGCGGTGCTAACCAATTTGCACAAGTCTACCCGTCTATGACCGCGAAGACCTAAGACAAAATCTACACGTTGGATCGTGACACAAACATGTGCCGGAACAGCAGCGTCTCTAAAAACGAAAAAATGAATCAAGAATGAACTTCAGAGAGTTCTGTCTAAGTCAAATCTCATGTGTTCTTTGCAGGTCAAGAGGAACAAATGCGTAGTATGGATACCTTCCTAAGAATTAGGATACCCAATGGGATATCATTCAGAATAGCCAAGTATCAGATACAGTATAGGTACTGATCAAAACGATCAGCTTGCAGCAAACAGATTATAACAAACAAAGTTACCTAATAGCAGCAATAACCATTATCATCTAACAAGCCTAGTTTCTTTAGAATACACATCCTGACTTCCTACACTGCACATTACATATAAAATATTTTAGACTGTCTAACTTTACTTTTAAAAAGGAACATAAAGCCTACCTGGCGTGACCCATATGAGCAACATCGTAGACTGTTGGTCCGCAGATATACCAGTTGACCTACAACAGGTATTTAAAAAATAACCTGAAAAACAGTAAAAGCACTGTAAATTCATCATGCCACATTCATCACTTAATAAACATTTAAAACGGTTAATCTGGCACTAAGTGACCGACGCAGAGTGACGTTACATAATTCTCACAGGCCATTTTATCATACTGCGTTTAAAGTAGGTGCTACTCGTTTCGATTTGAAAAACAATCTGCTCGACTGTTGGGTATTTTAAGTACCGTATTTTTCAATCAATAACGCGCGTTATCTATACAATAATATCCAGTCAACGTAAAAAACAACGTTGCGCGTTATGCAATGAAAAATGAAAAAATTCCAAATTATTTCACGTTACCTATACACGCGGTAATTTCTAACTGCGTATATAGTGAAAAGAATTAGTCCGAAACCATGTACTTATTGCAATATCAGTGAATATAGGGGT